ATTCTTTTCTGAGTTCCTCACTTGAACCTTTCACAACTGTTATGCATCACTGGAATGGTACACTACAAATCGAGCCTGTATTGCTGGAGTCATCACAAACCTAAAAGATTTTTAAAAGTACACCGAATTCCTCCAATTTACTTGACTTTCAGAACCAGGTTGGCAGAAAACATGGACCATATTTCTTATTACAAATATATAGCATCTAGCTCCAAGTGAATGAGCCCTTGGTATAGTTAAGACTCTAACTTCCTTATAAACACTCCCTTATGCATTATGGGCAGAGGGAAAGACCGGGGTAGATGTTCAATGATTGCTGATCATAAGGTTTGCTGAGATAATTCCTGTGACGATCAGAATGCTGCTTCTTGATCTTTCCTCTTGGATGCTTTCACTTGTTTTCAGGAAGTACAGAGTGACTGGTTCATCATTATAAAGGCCTCTGACTTCTTACTTAGAGTCACCACTTAGAACAACTACTGAAGGAATGTAAGACAACAAGGTGCAGAGCTGGATGAACACAGCAGGCCAAGCAGCATCATAGGAGCAGGAAGGCTGACGTTTCGGGCCTAGACCCTTCATCAGAAAAATTCTCCAGCATCTGCAGTTCCTACTATCACTGAAGGAATGTAAACTGGTTTCCTTGAAGCTTAAAGTGTTTTTTCTACTGCAACTTCTGAGCTTATGGCATTCTGGTGACTTCTCACTATCTTGTTCCCAGCCCCAAGCTGTTCAGCCACATTGGAGTCAATCACATTGTTGGCAGGCAGATAGTCTTTGTCATCGATAGCTATTCACTGGTACGTAGCTTAATCAGCTCCGTGTTACTGTCTGAATCTCCATTTGTACATAGCCCTTGGGTCTAGCTCATCAGCAGCTATGTAAATAGTACTTACAATGAAGTCAGAGATAGCCGATGCTGAAGAATCTGAGATAACAAGGTGTAGAGCTGGATGAACACAGCAGGCCAAGCAGCATCAGAGGAGCAGGAAAGCTGACGTTTCGGGTCTGAACCTTTCTTCAGAAATCTTTTTTTGTAACTTCTCCTTCCCCCTCATGGGTTTCTGTTTTAGCCTGTGGTAAACTATCCCAACTATCTTCAATGAGATCGCCTTTTCCTTCAAGACCTGAGGATTTTTCTTTTCCCCGATTTCTATCCCTCACAGATTGAAATTGATGTCAGAAGCCAGACTTTGGTTTATGAACCAACTCATAGTCATCTGCTATTTCTGCTGCTAATTTTGCATTCTTAACTCTCTGCTCTTCCACATGAGTTCTCACCACTTCAGGAAGTGAAGTTTTGAACTCCTCCGAAATAAGAATCTCTCTAAATGTCTGATCTATTTTCAATGTCTTTACCCACCCATCAAAGTTACTTTGTTTTATCCTTTCAGATTCTATATACATTTGACCAGGTTCACTCCTTAGATTCCTAAAACGTTGTCAATAGGCTTCTGGCAGTAGTCCATATGCCTTCCTTTCTTTTTTCTTTTTTCTTTTCCCTCTGCTTTTAATTATAATTCAAACTGTTTCATTTCCTTTTCTCTT